CCGCCGCGGCCAATGAGGTGAGAGGCGGGCCCGGGCAACCGCTCGGGACGGGAGGGGGTCGCCCCGCCGGCGCCCCGAAGTTCTGCGATGGAGGGTGGCAGCCCTTACATGGCGGGCCGGAGAAGGGTCGGCATTGGTAGGGCCTGGGAGCCCGACTGGAGCTCTGGAGATACAAGTTACAAACTCGGGGTGGTGCATGCCAGCCTCTTCTCGGTTTCGCGGGCGCCCTGGCTTTAATGGACCTGGCCGGACCGTGGGCACGGGGATGCTACGAGTTTGCTTGCAGCAGTAGCGTTGCTCCAAAAGCAGCTGGCACCTCAGCCGTGCCCTTCTATTTCCCATCCCCACCCCTGGCCCTGTCCTCAGCCGCCCTCGACCTTTCGCACTCGTGACTGCCTGGCCAGCCAGCCAGCCCCGCTAGCTGGAGCAGGTGCTGGGGGGGAGAAGGGCTTGCCCGAACGACCTTCCTCCGTGATGCATCCCTCTTCCCCTTCACCTGGAATTGGCTGAATACAAAAAAAGAACCGTGACGCTGCCTCTCCTTTCCTTTTGGTGCTAGGTTTCTGATTTCCTGTAACCTCTTCTTGCCTCGCGCTGCCCAGGTCTTGGCGGCTGAGGCTGGCCTACCTCCCAGTCGTTCCTTCATGGGCTTTGCTGCCCCCTTCACCAACAAGCGGAAGGCTTACTCGGAGCGTAGGATCATGGGGTGAGCATCCTTCTCTTCCACTCCAATAACCATTTGCTAATAGTTGATAAAATTCATATTGGACCACCCACCTCCCCAGCAATGTTTTTGCTGCCAGCCTCCCAACCTAAATTTCCCTCCTCGGTTGCGCCCGTGCTTTAAATTGGGTTTCCTCATAGAAACTTTATCAAGCACAGGCAGACCTGTATTCTCAGCTCTGGAGGCCAGAGGCAGGATTGCAAGCTTGTAGCCTCCCTGGGTTACATAGCCCAGAGCTTGCCTGTGTCATACTTATTATACACTTAAGACAGGGTCTCACGTAGCCTAGGTTGGCCTTGAACTTCTAACTATCCTGCCTCCACCCACCTCTCTAGAGCGGAGATTTCAGACATGTGCCACCATGCTGGTTTCATGCAGCGCTGAGGATTGAGCCTAGACCCCGCACATGCTAAGAAACCACTTCCCAGTTTTGTTTTTGTTTTGAGCCAGGATCTCATGTACCTCTGACTGTTCACCTTGTAATTATATAGATCAGACTGGCCTCTAACTCACAGAGATCTGCCTGCTTCTGCCCCGAGTGCTGGGACTAAAGGCTTGCATCACTATGCCAGGCTTCATTTTTGTTTTGTGACAAGGTCTTATTATGTAGCCCTGGCTAGCCTGGAACTTACAGAGATCTAATGGCCTCTGCCTCCCAAATGCTGAGATAAAAGCATGCACCACCATGCCTAGCTGTAACAAAAATGCTTTTAAAAACTTAAACTATAAGGACTGGAGAGTTGGCTCAGTGGCTAAGAGCACTTGCTACAAAGGACCCAGGTTCAATTCCCAGCCCCACATGGAGGTTTACCACCTCTTCAAGCACCAGCACCCACATCGTGCACACACGTACATGCAGAGCACTCATACACATAAAAATAAGCCTAAAAATTGTTTAATTATGAAATGGTTTAATGATTAGGAGCCTGTACTGCTGAGTTCATTGCCTAGCACCTGTGACTCCAGCTCCAGAGATCTTGCATCCTGCTCTGGACTCTGTAGGCACAAGCACTCATATGCACAGCCCCTCCCCCAGACATACACATAGTTAAAGAAAATTCGCTAGTGACGAGTACATGCTTATAGCTTTAGCACCCTGGAGGCTTAGGCAGCAGGATCCCTATCAGCTTCACCCAACTAACCTGCACTACAGGCTATACTACCTTGTTTAAAAATGGGGTGGTAGGGGGCTGGAGAGATGGCTCAGCGGTTAAGAGCATTGCCTGCTCTTCCAAAGGTCCTGAGTTCAATTCCCAGCAACCACATGGTGGCTCACAACCATCTGAAATGAGATCTGATGCCCTCTTCTGGCCTGCAGGCAGACACACAGACAAGAATATTGTATACATAATAAATAAATAAATATTTTAAAAAAATGGGGTGGTGGTGGTCAGATGGCTCTGGAGGCTGCCAAGACTGATGACCTGAGTTTGATCCCCTGGACCTACAGTGGTGGAATGGGAGAACCCATTCGGGAGTTGTCTTCTGACCTCAAGAGTGCACTGTGGCACAGCTCCCACACACAGATGGACAAGGGCAAAATACTACATAATTATTTGAGTCAGGTCTCTCTATGTAACAGCTCACTATAGACCACTTGCCTCCCAAGTGCTGGGATTAAAGGCATGTGGTACTAGAAGTAACATATTAAAGAAAAAGACACAGGGTGTTATTTTGAGCCTCGTTATGTTCTAGCTGCTAGGCTGAGTGGGTAAGCAATCCTAAGTGCTGAATTACAGGTGAGTACTACCACACCCATTTTTTTAAAGAGTTTTAATGATGTGTGACTGTATGTGGGTGTATGCACATACGTGAGTGCAAGTGTCCTTGAAGACCAGAGTTGATCCTCCTAGAGCCTGGAGTTACAGAGGTTGTAAGCTCTGGGTGCTGGAAATCAAACCCAGGCCCTCTGAAAGAGCAGTCAGTGCTCTTAACCAGTGGGCCATCTCTCCATCCAGTGTATGTGGTGCTGGTGACTGAATGTAAGGCTTCACGCCAAATAAGTGTTCTACTAACTGAACTACGCCTCCAGTCTATACAGGTAGGTACTTTACATAAACGGTCTCATTTCGTGCTCACAAACAAATGAACCAAGTATTATTCCTCCGTGTATTGTAGATAAGAGAACGGAGGCATAGCATAGGTAGTTTATCTAAGACCACATTAATAAGTTGTAGAGTTGTTCCCAGCACTGCTGAGGCAGGAGGATCATGAATTGGAAGCCAACTTGTGCCCACAGTGGTTTAAATAATCCAATGGCCCAGCAGGTAAAGGCACTTGGCACCAAGCATAAAGACCTGATCAAATTTGATTCCTCAAATTCACAAGCTGGAAGAACTGGCTGCTTTTTCTCTGATCTCCACACATGTTCCATACATACACACACAAAATTAAGTTTTTCTCTGCTCTCCACATGTTCCATACATACATATACAAAATAGTAAAGTGTAAAAAAAAAAAAGAGACAGACTTGGTTACCAATAAAACTGACATTCTGTCATCTAAAGCCTCTACTGGGATAAAATAATGTATCATCCAGGTCTTTTTGGGTGCCTGGTTTTTGGGCAGAGATTGTATCAGGGCCAATGACAAGGAGGACCTTGACCCAGCTGGCCGCTCTTGGTCTCTGATTCTTGTCCTAGGTACTCAATGCAGGAGATGTATGAGGTGGTGTCCAATGTCCAGGAGTACCGGGAGTTTGTGCCGTGGTGTAAAAAGTCACTGGTAGTATCCAGTCGTAAGGGTCACCTGAAAGCCCAGTTGGAGGTTGGGTTTCCACCTGTCTTGGAACGTTATACCTCTGCGGTCTCCATGGTCAAACCACACATGGTCAAGGTGAGGCCTGTCTGGGAGGATTCAGGGTATTTTCCTTGGCAGTTTCATATTCAAGGGTTATTTTTGGCCTTGCCTATAATTACTTGATTCCTACGTGTTAAATATTTGCCTAACATTAAAGGGAAAGGAAAATCAATTATCTTGGTGGTGGTGCTGGGCCAACCTGACATCATACATACTATGCAAGTAGTTCCACGAAGCTAAACTCTCAGCGACTCTCAACTTTCCTAATGCTGTGACTCTTTAATACAGTTCCCCATGTTGTGGTGAGCCCCAAGCATAAAATTACTTTTGTTGTTACTTCGTAACTATAACCTTGCTACTGTTGTGAATCATGTGACCATCCCTGTTTTCCCATGGTCTTGGGTGACCTACAGGTTGACAATGGCTGCTCTAGCTCCTTTACACTACCCCCTCTTAACAAGGGGAGCTAACTAGCCAATTGTATCCTATTCTAGGCTGTTTGCACTGATGGCAAGCTCTTTAACCACTTAGAGACTATTTGGCGATTCAGCCCTGGCATTCCTGCCTACCCTCGAACCTGCACTGTGGACTTCTCGGTGAGTCAGGTTTTGTGGCACAGATCTTGGATCAGGCATGAGGGTAAAACTAGGCACTAAACACTTCAATTTAATATGTATTCAGAGGTCTAAGTCGCTATCAGATTTGCATTTTGCTCAGTTTTAAGTTACGGTTAAGTGATGTCTGGAGGGGGTGTGAAGAAGGCCGTACAGATTAGCATCCTTCCAGCATGGTCTTGAAGTTTCTGTCTCTTATGCATTTCCAGATTTCCTTTGAATTTCGTTCTCTGCTGCACTCCCAGCTGGCGACCATGTTTTTTGATGAGGTTGTCAAACAGAATGTTGCTGCCTTTGAGCGCCGGGCAGCCACTAAGTTTGGTCCAGAAACAGCCATCCCCCGTGAACTGATGTTCCATGAGGTGCACCAGACTTGAGACAAAGGATTGTTCCCTTGCCTTCACCCCCTCTTCCCACCCAATTTTTATTTATTTGGTTTGGCTCTTGCTCAGAGAGAGGTCTAAGTTTCACCTCTCACTTCTTCTTAAACTGGGCTGCATGCTGGCTGGACGTGTGGGGAAGATAGCACATATGGAAGTGAGATACACAGCAAAGAATGCCTTGTGCCCATGGCCATTTCACACCGAATAAAAGCCAGAGCTATGGTCTCTGGACCAGGCGGATATAGTAGTAACTTCCTCACACAGAGGTACTGGCTGGCAAGTAACTTTTACCCCGCTAAGATTTCTCAGAAGAGAAAGGCAACCTGCCTCAGCTTAGGAACATGTCCATGCTGTCTGACAGGTAGAAAGTGAGGAGCTGCTTCACACCAGTGCCACAGAGCAGAGGAGGAGGAAGAAGGAATTCCTTAAACAGTATTGGAATGTACCTTTTTCTTTCACGTGGCCTGAGTTTTTTATAAAACTTCAATAAATTGTGACAGTGTGAATTTGCTTTTTTTGGTATTGTTTCTCAGGGTAGGGGCGGGGGTAACATAATAAGCAGAGTAGAAGTCACAGCTTCCTTTCCTGTGGGAATGAAGGTGTAAGGCAGCCTCTTGGACACGGCGTCCCTGCTAACTATAGTAGCACGCCCTGTATGCCAGGACCTACTACCTACCTTCTTGCCTATTTATAGACTTTTTTCCAGAAGGCCAGCTGTAGCAGGACAGCCTTAGACCTCCCATAATCTAACGCCCCCAGGACCACCCCTTATTTTGGGGGCCTCCTTAGGGAAAGTGGTAAGGGAGAGGCACTAACTATAAGCACCCTCTAGTGTCTAAGTCTGGAGCTAGCAGTACTCCATTTGTCCTTGGTACAGTTCTTGCTCCTTTCACCCAGTGGGCTAGACCAGCTCCTGGATTCGTCAGGCAAGTACTTGTGAGGTCTCTGTAACAGACAGGGATGAGGTTAAAGGTAAAGGACTTCCCAACCTTGGGGAAAGACTGAAAGTCTTTGGAAAGCAGCCTTCCCTCTGAATGTCCAACTTGCCGGAAGAAAAGAAAAAGGGATATACACAGAATCACTTATCACTCACTAGTTCAGACCTTCCTAACCAGATTCCTTACCTCATAATGATTCTTTCAGGCCTATGTAATAGCAAGCTCAAGCATTGTTAATAAAAACATTTATTATTATTTTTCATTTTATACAGAACAACCTGAAGTCTGCGTCATGACTTAACAGTTTCCCAGGGGTTTACAGTGTGTGTCCATCTCAACAGTGTGGTGCTGGGGTTTGGGTTCCACACAAACGCAGGCAGGAGTCTGGGGTAAGGAGGGAGCACAACAGGAGTGTATCTCAACCCTTTCTCAAAGAAAAGGCAGTATAGCTTCTGAGTCACTGGAGATCTGTGCAAACGGGGCTGCTAAGATAACCATCATACTGTGAGCTCGGAAGGGAAGAGCAAGAGAGTGGCATCGATAAATACAGGGACATGTCCTTGACGCAGGGGATAAGGCACTCACTATTTTGAATGCCCTCAACCCTAGGTCCAACTGATATTCAAAGGGAACTATGTCCAATCGCAAGTCATTTTTCTGTTCAAAAAGAAAGGCTAGAACCCCTGGGACCAGACCATGAAGAGGCTGGTCATTCCTGAGCCCTTGTTCTGTGTGTGCCAGAGCATATTAACAGGAGAAACCAAGGTCAGAAGAGAGTGGCTTATGTTCCATGGAAGTAAAAGGCCTAGTTCACATTAAGTACTGAAAAGCCAAATGACTGGAAAGACCACAGATCACAGACCTGCTAAGAGGACCCTAGCCAAGGCTAGGACAAGGGAGACCCAGAGCCTCCTTAGCTGAGGCACAGCAGGTATAGGAAGTCTGGGAGGAAACAGAACACTTGCAGACCTTAATTTAATAGTATAATTTAAAGAGAGAATTAGAATCAAATGCTGGGTACCAATAAAATAAATGCCATGCCATTTATGGCCACTTGATAGCATCAAAAGTTGCCAAAAAACCAATATTCATTTCCAGCTAACCAATAGATCTTTCTAGGAAGTGCTTGTGTACACAGGAAAAGGCCTTAGGGTTTGACACAGCTGACACCCAACATGATTCCTATGGAAACAAAAGGGGCCTGGCCCTAGCCTCAGTGGCTCAGAGGGCTGGTAGCAAAAACTTCACAGAGGGACTGCAGCTTTTCTATAACCTGCTTTGACCTAAACAAGAGGAGCCAGACTCTCACTCTAGAGATGGTGGGTAGCCAGATCTAACCTGACCACATGCATTAGTCCTGGTCATCCTACAGTTGGTAGACAACTCATACCAGGGAGGGAAGTGAGTTGGTGAGGGAAGAAGGGGTTGCTTTTCATCTTTTAAGTCTTAATTTATATTTTAACTTCAAATGTATTTTCAGTGCCTCGGATACAGGTTAATCTTAAGTCTTAAAGGCCCCTGAAACAAAACAAAATTATACTTTATTTTAAACTTCCTCTTTATAGGAAGTTTTTCTTATAGTCAGTTTCCCGCAATCTCCCGTTTTACCCTGACTTAGAGTCCACAAACTTCATCAGACCATCCGTGCTCATGGACTTGGGCCTCTCTAGAGGGAAGCCTAGGGCTCTGCTCCAGATGAGCTGTGCCAGCACACCCAGTGCCCTCGACACTCCGAACAGGACCGTGTAGTAATTCATCTCCTTCATGCCATAGTACTGTTAGGGTAGAAGAGAAAAAAAGCTTTATTAAAAGCCAGACACAGTGGCACACACAAGTCTATGGCAACAAAAACCCTTAGAGACTCCATTCCCTCTTTAATCCATAGTCTTAGCCCACTCAGCCTTAAATAATTTGAAAGAGCATTAGGAAAAGTAATACAGCTATAGCTCAGTCAAGAGCCCGACTGTCAAAGGCTCTGTGAGGGAGGGTAGAGGAGACCTTGCTCTAGGGGAACCTGGTGCTGGAGACCTGAAATTCTATCTACTTTACTTAAGAGGTTGAGGCAGGAGATCAAAAGCCTAAAGTCAGAGGCCAAGAAAACATCTTGGTTGGTAGACTCTTTGCCTTTCAGACTGAGGACCTGAGTTCAGATTCCCAGCATGCACACAGAAGCAGGGTGTAATGGCATATGCCTGAAATCCCGTGAGCAGGAGGACCCTAGAGCTTGTCACTATGAGTGGAATCAATGACCCCCAGGTTCACTAAGAGACTCCAAAAAGTAAGATGAAAAGTAACAGAGGAAAACACTCGACATCACCTCTGGCATCCACATGCACATACATGTGTCAGCACACACAGAGACTATAAACACATTTACCACCAACTAACTAGAAAAAGTACCAGGCCTGATGGTGCATGTACATCTTCATTCAAAGCACGCAAAGAGGCAATGGATCTGAGTTCCAGGTCAAGCTGGTCTATATAGAGTTCCAAGCCACTCAAGGCTACCGAGTGAGAACTCTCAATAAATGGCCCTGCATGAGGCTTTGGGTTCCTCGCACTTATTCTGATTAGGGAGTTTTGTGCACGGCAAAGAGCAAAACAGTGGTGCAAAGTAAGAAGGCAAGCAGGAAAGAATGGACTCACCTGGAGCAGCACCCCACTGTGAGCATCTACGTTGGGCCAAGGATTCTTGGCCTTCCCTTGCTCTAAGAGAATATTGGGAACAATCTTGTACAACTGAGCAACCAGCTTAAACAGAGGGTCGTTAGGCAGATGTTTCAGAGCAAACTCTCTCTGGCAGGAATACCGTGGGTCAGTCTTCCTTAGCACTGCATGACCATATCCTGGAACAACCTGCAAAGGGCGGGGGGATCACAGAGCTGGCATATTCAGGTAGAACTTCATTTTCAGGATCATTTGGTCCTGATGGCTCAAGCAGGACTGTAAATTCAAAGTCAGCCTGGGTAATTCAGTGGAAATCCTGTCTCTAAATAAAAGGATAATGCAGCTGGGCGGTGATGGTGCATATCTTTAATCCCAGCACTCCGGGAGGAAGAGGAGGGCGGATCTCTGTGAGTTCAAGAGGCCAGCTTGGTTTACAGAGCTAGTTCCAGGACAGGCTCCAAAGCTACAGAGAAACCCTGTCTTAAAATAAATAAATAAGTAAATAAATAAATAAAGCAGCAGCTGGGAAAATAGTTAGGTGGTAGAGCACTTGCCTTGCTAGCCAGAGGTGCTGGGTTCAAGCCGAGCATCATAAAAAAGAAAACTAAATCCACAAGGCAAACAAATGGGGAAACAATAAAAGAGGCAGTTTTTTAGCTAATGCAGGGGCTGCTTTTATTCTTTTATTTTTATTTTTTCCTTAAGACAAGGTCTCAATAGCCTGGGATTTTCTTTCAAATTTCAGTGTTTGGGTCTTAGTCTCTTGGTTGCTTACCCGTCCTGAGTTGAGTGTATTCCAGATGTAGTCTCGTAACTTCTCATCTGACACATCTTTGCCAACTTCCTTCTGTAGCTGTGTTAGCCAGACAAGCACTTCCTATGGTAAGTTTAGGATGGGAAGAGGAATGTCAATATACATGCCAAGGAAAGAGTATAAAGATGGGGGACAGGTCATGTGAGTAAAAAACACAGAACGGGAAAAAGAAAGCTAGTCTTACCTGATTGGCTAGTCCATGGAGCGGCCCTGCCAGCCCATTCATGGCTGCTGCAAAGGCCAGGTAGGGGTCTGAAAGGGCACTGCCCACCAGGTGGCTTGTGTGGGCACTTACATTACCACCCTCATGGTCACTGTGGGGACCAAAGTGAGAAAGGAAAGAGCTGGTTACGACAGAGACACTGCTTTTCTTTTGTCAGATCCTGGCCTTCTGGGCTCCTGACACCCTAGCCGGTCAGCTGTGCCTACTCCCTCTCTCCACCCCTACTTCCACTGTTAGGATCAAATACAGAGCTTAAAGCATGCATTAGGCAAACAGCACTGAACTACAGTCTCAGCTATCTCCCCTATTTTAATAATGGTGACCAGAAGAGGGAGCTCCTGGAAAGCTGATGGATTCCCTTGTGTGTGTTCTTTCAAATCAGAAGCAATTCCCCTAAAGCTTTCAGCTTTTCTTCCTTATTTCTTGCCAAGTTTCAATCCTTAAAAAAGATGTTTCTACCTATACCCCCTTGCTATACAGGTCATCTGTTCCCAGATAATAACATTAAGGAGCTTTAAAATGTAGTCCTACATTTTAAATCAGGTCCCTACCCTCATTGCTGGGCATGGTGGCACATGCCTTTAATCCTAGCACTTGGGAGGCAGAGGCAGCTCTGGGGGATCTTTATGAGTTTGAGGCCAGTCTGATCTACATAGTGAGTTCTAGGACCAGGGCTATGTAGAAAGATTCTGTATCTCAAAACCAAAAAACAAAAACCAACCAAACAAACAAACAAAAAAAACAAACCCAAAACAAATCAAAGAGTTTCCCATCAATCCAGGGTTGCTTCCCCATCCCCTACCCCCTGAGACAGGGTTTCTCTGTATATAGCCCTGGCAGTCATGGAACTTGCTTTGTAGACCAGCCCTCAAACTCACAGAGATCCGCCTGCCTCTTCCTCCTGAGTGCTGAGATTAAAGGTGTGCATCACCACCACCCAGCTCAATCCAGGCATTTATGGGGTATAATTATTAAATCTAGCTTACCTGTGGATGGTGAGGTACAAACGCATAAGCTCAGTGAACTGTGCATCAGTATAGCCTAACATATTGGTAAAATTGTGGGACCAGTCCAGCTTAGAGTCAATGGCCCCAATGCTGCTGCCTTCCCGGTAAAGATTCCGGTAGATCTTTGCTGCCACACAGGGTAGCTTCGCAATCAGGTCCATACAATCTTCATAAACCAACTGATTAAAAAAAAGATGGAGAAAAGAGGAATTACCTACAAAGCATTAGGCTGCAATACTGTTTGCCCTTCGCAGACAGTGTCTGAGTTGATAGCTGTATGCTGCGTGGTTATATATTAAGTATATTTCAAGGTACAGAATAGCAATAACCACGTACTGAGTAAACTACTACAACGTAGGTTTCTAATAACCCACAATTCTCCATTGTTTCCATCCTCCTGACCATAAGAGCACATATACATGAGCTGAGGTTCCTCAGTTAAGTATCAAAGTAAAATGTGAACCCTGATGTGCCACACTGCGATGTGCTTAGGGTAGTATAACTTTACACTACACGGATGGGTTAGAGGTAAAGGACATTACCTTTACATCTTTAAATTTTATATGCGTATAATGTGTGTGTAAAGAGGCAGAGCCTACACGTCCACAGCACATAGTGAGATCAGAGGACGACTCTCTGAAGTCCCTTCCTTCCTGCCACCTTTATGTGGGTCCTGGGAACTGAGGTCAGATTCCTGGGATTGCATACATGCTTTTACCTGCTGAGCCATCTCACTGGCCCATTTTCTAAAGTTAATTCCTTATTTCTTTATTCTAATGTTTAATTTTATAGTTTAGATTGCATTGAAAATATTACATATGTTAGCAGTCAAAACAGTGTTGACCAATTACTGTATAGCAAAAGCTTCTTCAAGGCTTGAGATACATATTATGCTAGATCTATTATACAAGGTTTTGAAACACATATACTTTGCTAGAAAACTTGTACAGCAAGTAGGCGGCCTGGACTTGATGCCTAGCATTCACCTAAAAGTTCATCCAAACATGGGTGGAGAGACGGTTCTGCAGTTAAGAGCACTTGCTCTTGTAGAGGATCCTGGCACCCAACACAGACGCTAACAATGATCTCTAACTCGGTTCAGAGGATCCACTGCCCTCTTCTGGCCTCCACAGACACTGCATGCAGGTGGTGCACAGACTGGCAGACAAAACACCCGTACATGTCAAAAATAAATCTTGAAAAATATATCAAGAAGAGTACACTAACTGGTTATTGAAAACACATACACAAAAAACATTATACAGACCAAGCAGGTCATATTTACCTATTTATACACACGCATGCACACACATGTACCAACAATTAATGAAAATAATGAAAATAGAAGTAACGAATCTGAAAGAGAGCAAAGATGGGAGAGTCTGAAAAACAAAAGGGCAGGCAGTGGTGGCACACCCTTTTTTTTCCCCCTTGAAGAGTCTTGTATGTGAACAAACCCAGGCATATTTGCCAGGCTGTGGTGGCGCACGCCTTTAATCCCAGCACTTAGGAGTTAGAGGCAGGTGGATCTCTGTGAGTTTGAGACCAGCCTGGTCTACAGCATGAATTCTAGGACAGCTATAACAATTATTTGAGCAGTGGGTGTAAAGGACCCGAGTTCAACTCCTGGGCGCTACATGGTAGGAGAGAACCATATCCTAAAAGTTGTCCTCTGATCTTCACATGCAAGCTTCAACACATAAGCACCCCCAATTCCTCCAGTCTCAGAGGACCCAACATCTGGTCTCCATGGGCTCCTAAATACATATGGTGCAAGTAAACTCACAATGGCTCAGATATACACATAAATAAACCTTGAAGACTGTTTGCCTAGTATGCAAACAGCACTCAGTCCTCAGCTTCTCATAAAATGGTGCGATGGCAAGTGCCTATAATCCCAGTATTCAGAAGGCTGAAGGTTCACAGGTTCAAGAACAGTCTGATTATACAGCGAGTTCAAAGACAGCAGTAAGTGCTACCTACATAGCAAGATCCCTTCAACCACCACCACCACCATTTACAAAAGTGGTGCACATAAGGGGGTGGGCGGTTACTTTCTGTATACCACAAGATGCTTAGTGAGTAAAGGGCTTACTACTCAAGCACTCAAACACGAGGATTTGAGTTTGAAACTCCAGCACCCTTGTAAAAACCCAGGCAAAGCAACAGTATTTATAACCACGATGTTGGATCTCTCCAAGTTTATTGGCCAGTCAGACTAGCCAATTCATGGGGCTTCAGTTTCAGTGAAAGACCCTGTCTCAAAAAATAAAGTGAATATAAAGTGGAAAAGATAAGACCCTTGGTGCTGACCTCTGGTGCATGCACACACACACAAACACGTCACTCTGGTGCACACGCACGCACACACATGTCATGTCACTCTGGTGCACGCACGCACACACAAACACATGTCACTCTTCATTTTAGGATTCTACAAACAGGACGGTAGTCTTTGTCTCTCCCACAGTAGCCCAGAGTGACTGGCATCAGCCCTCCTAGACTACAGTGTGGTTAATTATCATTCATCCAAATCCTAAGGATCATAAAAGTTCTCCTTATTTGGGGCTGGCTCAGTGGACAGTGGCACCTGACAAACCGATCCATGGTACAGACTCTGTCTGAGGAGAAAACAAATTCCTAAGCTGATTTCTGTCCTTTACACGCTATGAGTGCACAAACAAAATATAAATTAATAGGCAAAAAAATTCTCTATTTTCTTTACAATTTTAACAAGTCTTATAGTGAATTTTTGTTTTAGTGTTGGGGATTGCCTCAGTTTGTGAAGTGGATTCCTCAACTAAGCCAGAAGTGTTCTTCACATTCAGGTACTCCAAACCCCATTACAGTCCAATCACACAACTCAAATTTCCTACCTCCCAGTACTTGGTTCGGTTGATTCCCTCTGCGTAAGCACGGGCAAAGTTACTTTCACTGTTGAGGGCTGTGATGGCTGCACTGAGCTGAGACATGGGGTGCAGGTTAGTAGGAAAGTTGTCCAGCATGGTGACCACATGAGAAGGCAGAGCTGCCCTTTTGGCCCATTCTTGTGAGAGCCAAGATACCTGCGAAAAAGAAGATTCACTCAGAAATGCCTGAGTAAAGATAACCCAACAGGGTACAATCCGCTTAGACCCAGTCAGACCCTGCTCACTCCTTCTCGAAGCACTCTATAAACTCCAGCTATGGGCAGATGAAGATTAAATGCTGAAGACTAGAGAAAAGCAAGGAAGGGGAATCGGAAGGGCCAATGTTGACCATACCTGTTCCTCTGTTGGCATCTGTCCGGTTACCAGCAGCCAAAACAGGCCCTCAGGTAGGGGTTCTTCCCCACCCTTAGCCTTAGGCAGTAGTTTCTGGCATTCAGGGATACTATGTCCTCGGAAACGTATGCCCTTGAGAAAGAAAGTGACAATTGCGACCCAATTTATTAATCTGTCAGTCACAGAATAGACCAGTCCTAACTTAATCATCAGTCATTTCAGTGGTAAACACACTCTACTAAGCCTGAGCACCTGAGTGTGATCGCTGGGACGCACAGCGATGCAAGAGAACCAACACCCACAAGTTGTCCTCTGACCTCCACACTTACAGTGTGAAATGTGAGACTTGTCACAATATGAACACATACAAGAACAAGTATTTACTTAAAAGTGTATTTTAAGTATGCATGCATGCATGTACGTGTGTATATATATATATATATATAAAAACACTTATTGTTTTACTTATTAAACAAACAAACAAGAAACAGGCATGGTGGCACACTCCTTTAATTCCAGCACTTGGGAAGCAGAGAAGACAGATTCCTGAGTTCAAGGCTAGTTTGGTCTATGTAGTAAATTCCAGGATAGCCAGTGCTACATAGAGAAACCCTGTCTCAACAAAACAAAACCAAACCAAAACCAGAAATAAACTGCCCTGAAAAAACAAAATAGATAAAAACCCACAACAAAAAAACCAAAAAAAGGAAAAACTATATTTATTTTATAAATATTCACTTAAAAATAATTATTGTTAAAATCAGAGATCTAACAGCCTCTGCCTACTGAGTGCTGGGGCTAAAGATGTGGCTATTTTTATTACTTTCAATTGTGTGTGCACATGAGTGTATGAGTTTGTGTGTGGGTGTCTTCTTAACTTCTTAACTGCTAAGTCGCCTCTCTAGCCCCATAAATGTGTTTTGTTTTTTCAACCAAAAAGGCACCTGCCATGAGTTCAAAGCCAGTCTGGTGTATAACCACAAGTTCCAGGCCTGCCAAGGCTACAACTTCAAAAACAAAAACAAAATTCTATTCTTCACATATTTATTCTGCCTTTGTTCTCTTATTCTGTACGGAGGTACATGAGAGGAACCTGTGTCTAGCTGTCCTAGTCTGTACTTGTATGGACAATCACTGATGAATGATGGCGTCTTACCTCATCAGGATCGAGAACCGACGTCTCATACACGAGTCCCTTCATTCCTCTCATGCCGCCATACATCTAAGGAGAGAAGTGTGAGCAAGCGTCATGGACCCGCCTGCAGTGGTTGGGGCTCCTGGGCTCAGAAGACCTTTACTCTCTCACCCACAAGACTACATTTGGGAGGTAGGTTCTGGGGGTTGGATTTCTAGAACTGAATCAGTGTTCTATCAAAGGCTGCTAGCTAAGGCAATGAGCGTTTGCACCAAGTCACTGCTGTTTCTTTAATGTACCTGCCTTTGCTTCCTTTTCTTATCTGTATTTTATTTTTCCTCATGACCATTCTTAACCCCCTCTCCACATTCCCAATGATGAGCTAAATGGAATTAGATCTATGATGGGCAAAGAGGAAGGAGCACTGACTGAAAAGCTTAGGAAGTTATCCTAAGGCTGCACCAGAGGATTCACTGGGCCTGCAGTCTAACTAGATGGCCGCGACAACAATCAGAAGACAGTCTGGCCCTAGCTAAAGCTGGGAACAGAACTAGAAACTGCATCTATCTTTGTCATAGGTGAACAAGGTTAGGCTTAATTATAAATTTGCAGGAAAAAAAGAACTATTTTCTAAGGAATACCATAAACCTAACATTTCATTGTTTACCAGTAAAGAAAATGGTACCTTTGTGGCATACGTCACAGGGCTACTTTTTCCATCTAAGACACCACAGCCCTTACCATATCCACAGTGATTTGGCCAACCACTGTCTTCCCATGTTGTTGTCTGAAGGCTTTAATTCTGGCCTGCTCCTTAGGTATCAGATTGCTCAATACATCTTTCAAATTCTAGAAGGAGAAATAGAAGGGTTAATAGGTAGGAAAACATAGAGGGTTGTCTACTGTGAAGAACATATATGAAGACTGCTTGTTATCATCTCTCTGTCAGTCAGGCACGGGGAGGAGTGAATGGGACCTTCATTTTGCAGAAAAGAAAATATCCTGGATATGGACAGTGATGTTCACTTAATCAATGATTAAAAAGTCATAGCCGGGTGGTGGTGGCGCATGCCTTTAATCCCAGCACTCAGGAGGCAGAGGCAGACAGATCTCTGTGAGTTCAAGGCCAGCCGGTCTACAGAGTGAGTTTCAGGACAGTCAGGACTACATAGAGAAACCCTGTCTTGAAAAACTGAAAAAGTAAGGCACTCAAGAGACCAAGGCAGAAAGGTGAGTGAGGCCACCCTGCTTCAGGAATTTGATAAAAGGGATATAAGACCCTGTATTAGAATTTAAAACAGTACATTTTATTTCATTTAGGGGTTATGAGCATGGTTTCGTGGTAAAGTACTTGATATCATGTGTGAGGAGGCTTTGGGTTTAATGCTCAGCAGTACAGAAACGAAAGGGAAAACATTTGCTGTTTCCACAGTACTACGCCACTGAAGAAGCTATTTCTTAAGGGGCTGGAGAGATGGCTTAGCGGTTAAGAGCACTGGTTGCTTTTCCAGGGGGCCTGGGTTCAATTCCCAGCACCCACATGGCAGCCCACAACCATCTGTAACTCCAGTTCCAGGAGATCCGACCTACATGTAGCTAGGCACAACACTAATGAACATAAAATTTAAAAAAATATTTCTTAAAACAATAGTAATTATAATAATCATAACAGTAACAATTATTGGTTAATTTCAATAGACTTAAGATAATAAGGCAAGTAGTTGCCAAACAGTCTGTCCTAAAGTCAGACTGCTACAATGATTCTGCATCCTTGCCAAATCTTACCGTGGAAGAAGCACTGGCATGCCGGACAGCAAGAACAATGCAGGATGAATTCTGCAAAGAGATTAAGACAAAATCCTTATGAATATCCTTCCCTCCTTTAATCAAGCAGTTGCAGTGACTTTCACCTTAAAGACAGTCTGACAAACTTTTATAGTCTGGCAGAAGCCTGCTTCTCATATCCATAGCATCACTAGTATTCCTCTAAGAGCTTTTCTCACACACCAGGGTTCTTAGACAGCACAGTTGTTATACAGAGCATCTAGTCCATCCAGATTTAATTGTCAATAGGAAACTGGGCAGTTACTGCTGCTGCAGTACTCTCTCCATCACTTAGGACAGCCTACAGGCAGGGCAGCCTTTCACAAGAGCATTTCTAACCCTCTGGCTTATTTTATTTTCCAGAGAATCAGACAGGAGCAAGCAGGGTATTGCGTGTAGTGACTATACAAAGATGCTAATCACAACTGATGCACACTTTAATCATGTTCTGTCTTGCTCCCTGAAATGAGGAATAGGTAAGATTATTCACCTACCATCCTATAACTCCAGTTCTGGGGAATCCAGTGCCTACTTCTAACCTCTGCAGGTACCAGGCATTCAAGTGGTGCTCAGGCACACATGCAAAAACACCCATTCACATAAAATTAAAAATTACAAGAAAAAGGAAAAATAAATAAATTAGAGGAATTTTGAAGGTAGTAAGTCACCCTGGAAACTGTGTGACATACGTTTTTAAGTGTCAACTTGAGAGTATTTCTTTAGGATTTATTTACTCATTTAGTGTGCACTGGGGCTCTGCCTGCATGTTTATCTGTGTGAGGGTGTCAGATCCCCTGGAACTGGAGTTACAGACAGTTATGAGTTGCCATGTGGGTGCTAGGAATTGAACGTGGGCCCTTTGGAAGAACAGCAGTGCTCTTAATATCTGAGCCATTTCTTCAGTCCAACTTGAGAGAGTATTAAAAACACCTAAAATAGGGGCTGGAGAAATGGCTCAGAGGTTAAGAGCACTGACTGCTCTTCCATAGGACCCGGGTTCAATTCCCAGCACCCACATGGCAGTTCACAACTGTCTGAAAATCCAGTTCCAGGGGATCTGACACCTTCACACCAATGCACATAAAAATAAAAAGATAAATAAATCATAAAAAAAAATTAAAAAAACACCTAAAATAAAGATGTTTCCATAAGAGATTAGAATGTGAGCCTGAGTGGATTCTCAACATGGGTATGAACCCCATCAGCAGGGCACCTCATACAGCAAAACCAGAAAAGGTAAATCAGCCTCTTGTCTCTCCCAGCTAGAAATACTTTTCTCCAAACATAGACACCAGACCTCTGCCTCTGAACACATGACTGACTGACACTGGCACTTCTCAGGCTCTCAGACTTACGGACTTGAACTGAAACCCACTACCACTATTCCTGGTATCCTGCTCAATTCTTTAACTGTGTGAGTATGCACACACATATAGATAGATATACACACAAATATTAATTTTTATTTTTTTCAGCCAAAGTTCATTCATGTTGCTCTGGCTGGCCTTGAACTCAGATCAACTTGTCTCTGTCTCCCAAGTTCTGGGTTTGGAGGTGTGTGCCACCATTCCTGGCATTTTTATATATTATCTATGTGCACTGTACACACACATTCTTACTGACTCTAAACAATGACTAACAAACTATTCAAAATGATCAAGGAAAAATTCAAGTTAGACCTTTAATTACAATGAACACAGAATACTTGATTTGGAAAGGAAAGCTATACATGGAATGTGCGTACCTGTGACAGAGGCAGTGGGATCACCACCGCTATGCCAGGCCAAGTCTGCAGAGATGGCTCGCAGGAGTACTAGCTGCTCTTCCAGAGGACCTGGAGTTACCAACGGCCACACTGCAGCTCACAACCATCTATAATTCTAATTCTAAGAAATCTAATGACCTCTTCTGCTTCCAATGGTACACAGTCATACATGCAAGCAAAGCATCCATACACAAAAAATAATTTAAAAAAATGAAAAAAAATAAGGGGTATGAGGATGTAACTCAAACACTTGTCTAACATGCACAAACCCGTGGATTCCCCCGCCTCCAGCACTCCAGAAACATTATACAGTATGCAGCCTATAATCCCAGCACCCCGGAGGCAGAGGCAGGAGAATCAGAGTAAGATCACCCTCAACTGCATGAATTTGAGCCCAGTCTTCAACCAAAAGAGATTACATCCCAAAAATAAATAAAAACAAACTAATGGAAATTCAGACTTGGATCTCAGACTTTATTTCAATCTACAGTTTACACAAAAAGCACAGCAAGTTCTAAATACAGGCCTGCCATTTTCATCCTGTTGCCTTGGCTATGAGACCCTAACATAAACCTCACTGTTCAATTCTCTAAAATGGTAATTAAAAAGTCAATGTTAGGGTGTGGGAGATGGCTCAGTGGGCAAGAGTGTTTACTCTGCAAGCTTAAAGCATATGCACCCTCATAAAAGCCAGACATCAACACTAAATTGTATTTTGTTAAATCTCAAAGCATTTTGTTATCAAATAAATGTGACCAGTAAGTTCTTTTCGGAATGTTTTGACATTTATGTTAAATGCCATTTCTAGTCCATAACTAGTATCTTGTAAAAATATAGGCTGTTAGAAAGAAAAGAAAAACATTAAGAACAAAATAGGCATAGCAGCTTGTAGCTATAACTCAGAAACTGGATCCTAAGAGTTTTGGCCAGTCAACCTAGCCAAAAACACGTGAGCTTCCCGTCCCAAGGCATTAAAGCGGACAGTGACAGAAGACACCCAAACTTGTCCCTGGCCTCCATATGTACATGTACCCGCACACTTAAACGTAGCGTTCACCACTGGTCTTGTATGGCATGGCGGTAACATGCTTGTAATCCCAGCACTACAAAGGCTGAAGCAGCTGAAGACTCAAGTTCCAGGCCAGCCTGGGCTACAGAGAGAAACCATGTTTTTGAAAAAAGAAAAGAGCCAGGTGTCATGGTCACAGGCCTATAATACAATTAGTTGGAAGGTATGTAGAGGGAGGGATCAGGAATTCCAAATCAGTCTTAGCTACAAACCATATCCAGTCTGAGGAGCCTATGCTATGTGAGATCCTAAAAGTGGGAGGGGGCAAAGAGTTGTATTGGCTGTAACAATCCATAAAGTGCCAAAATTCTGGTCTAACCAGAATGCATCACAGGAGGAAATCTGTCAAATCCCAGGAAAGGATGAATGACTAATTTTACTTAATAATAAGACCTCAACTTCCTATTTTCTTTGGAGGGGTATCAGTTTTTGCTTTTTTGAGAAAGGATCACTTATGGTATAGGTTGTTCCTAAACTCACCATATAGGCAAGGCTGGCCTCAAACTCCTGTTCCTTCTGCTCTCTCCAAGTGCT